TAAAGTGTCAAAACCGCTATCTTTAATGAACTCGTTTCTTTCGTAGTTTTCGAAGCGTTTTGCCTTTGGATTTCTTCTCTGTCTGATAACTGAAGTAAATAGGTTTCCATTTCTGTCTCTGTAAACGCTTTGACTTGGGCAAATGTAGTCAGAGCCATTGATAGCTTGGAAATGCATCTCTTTCTGTACAGTTGTGATTTGAGTTTTTCCATCTGCATTTTTGGTTAGCTTTATTATTGAAATCAGTGGGATGTTTGACTTGGATTTTGGCAAATCCTCAAGTTTGATCGGAGGAGCATCGATTAGATCTTGTTCATTTATAACTTCTTCGCATTCATAGTTTTCTACCTCATTTGTCTTGTTGTTCAATCTGTGTTTGATTGCATGGAAAATTGGAGCTCCGTCCTTTCTTCTGTAAACAGTGGGATCAACTGCAATGAACTCAGAGTTTCCTATTGCGTAGTCAGGAATATTTTCTTCCTCTGAAAACTCAATTTTCTTCCCAGAAATCGGATCTCTTCTTGTTCTTATTACTTTAATTGTTCTGAGGTACTTCGGTCTGCTGTTCTGCTCCGGCTTGTGCTTTGTCACCTCTTGTAGGCATGTTGCATTGACCAAACTGTTTTCTGATGAGATAAACCTGGAAATTGCACGGAAAGCATGGCCAGAAACTTTCCAAACATCATTTTCCTGGATGTTTAGATCTGTTTCTCGCATTGTTGGTATCTCAGGAACTTCTTCTTCGGCTTCTACGTTCTCTATATCCCTTGTTTTTGGATTTTTGCGCTGTTTTATTACTCGAATATACCTTTTATGAGTCATTTCGTTGACTCTAATTATTGGGTCGATTGCAACAAAGTCTTTTGTGGCAATCTGAGGCTCTTGGATTTCTATTTCGGTTTTTCTTTCCACAATTTCACCTGTTCGTCTTGATTTCCTTGGTTTGATAACAGAAATTAAGAGTTTTCCGTTGTTTCCTCTTTTAGATTCTGGAATTTTTTCGTCAAACGCGTGTTTAACAATTTTGTCTTGGAGGTAAACTCTCTTCTCTGTATTGATTGTCGTTCCATCGCTGAGATGCTCCCTGACTATTGCATTCAGATAAGGTTTTCTTTCTGAATCTCGGTGGATGAAGTTATCAAACGCAATGTAATCAAGACCTGTTATGACATCAGTTGGAACAACTTGGTATTGAAGCTGTCCTCTGTTTCCATTTTCATCTTTTGCGTAAACTGGGATAACTAATTGATTATTTTGATTATAAGTAGCGTTCTCCAAGAATCTGTTGAAGAACTCTTGGTCTCTCTGGGGAGTTTGAGTCCAAGGACTATCGTATTTAATTGGATTTCGATCTTTATAAGGAGATTTCGGTAAAACGATAGGAGATGTAGATCGTTTTGAATTTTCCGAAAGAATATTATACTCAGAATAGCCCATGTTGTTTCTGTTTGTATGGCCTGTGTCGTGGTTGTATGTCGGAATCTTATAAAAAGCTGATGGACTCTTGGAATTTCTTTCTGGAGTTGAAATAACCGAAGAGTAGGTAGTATCGCTTCTGGAGAACGATGAAGAAGAAATCAGCAACTCTGGACTGAAGGATTTGTAATTGTCCGGAGATTTCTTTGAACTTTGACGCTTTTGAGATGATTTCCTTGATGTGGAAGAAGATGAATCAATGCTCGAATTTCGAGATCTCTTGTTTTCAGAAGATTTCTTTCGAGATTTCTTTTCAAATGAAGATTTTCTTGATGTAACGGATGATTTACTATCAATTGATGATCTTCGTGATGACGATGATAGTTCATTGCTTGGTTTCCTTCTTGAAGATAATAAAATATTACTTTTCTTCGAAATATCAGAAGTTGATGATGTATCTGTAGATTTCTTAGATTTAGATGATGATTTACTGTCAACCGAAGATTTTCTCGAAGAAGATTTCGAAGAAGAAGACAAATCTGTGCTTGTCTTTCTTTTTGTAGATGATTTACTGTCAATTGAGGATTTTCTTGATGATTTTGATGAAGATTCTGTCTTTGATTTCTTGGATTTCGAAGATTTGCTTGAGGAACTTGTAGATTTTGCAGAAGATGACAACTCTGGTGCAGCTACTATACTTGTGTCAATTGATGGTGGTCTATGTTTATCAATTGATCTCTTTCTTGATGAATTTTCTGAATCAGAACCTTGGAAAAGAGTTTTAGCTTTAACTGAGCTCTTCTTTTTACTCACAACTCTTTTCTTCTTCGATACTTTGCTGGATTTTGAAGTTTCGCTCTCTAAATCAGCTGAATCAAAATCAGATTTCTTACTTGGGGATTCATCACCTCCATACGTAGCTGGAACCTTAGATAATCTGCGTTTAACGACTTTTCTCTTTTTCTTTTTGGATATCTCATTGATTGCTTCTTCAAGTGAAGGGATTGATCGTTCTTGCACTATTATTTCCTTATCTTCTTTCTTGGAGAGCTCAAATGGCTCAGGAATTGCAAATTTTGCTTCTACAATTGGGAGATCTGGAGAATCAACTTCCTCCCAAACTTCTTCTTCGCATTTGGTGTCTTTGTACTTGTTAGTCTTGCTGTCTAGTACTTTTTTATGTACTTTGATTTTGACCGGTTTCAGATTCAAATTTGATTGATCGGCCGTCATTGGCTCAAAAACGGCTTCTCTTGCGACAACCTGTTCCAGTTCGCCAGTGGTTGCATTCTTCCTAACAATGATTGTATGGATATAGCGTTTAACAAGTTTTCTTTTCCCTAATTTTTCCAATTTCTTGTTGTTTTCAGGAGTTAGCTCTTTGAATTGAGGCTTTCCGTTGTTTTCTACATATATCATGACTTTTCCATCTGAATTAATCATAGAATCAGGACATAATTCTTTTGTTTCGACAAATTCATCTTCTCCTGTCTGTTCATTCTTTCGGTGTCTTATGACATGGATGTACATGTTTCTGATCTTCTTTGGAGCCTTCTTTCCTTTTCTTTTTTCAACAATAAAATCTGATTTTGAGTTTTTGCACGAATAAACTAAATCGTTCATATCAACAATCTTTTTAGACTTTGGATCATATACTTGCTTGATCATTTCGATGAATGGAGATTTATTTTCATCTATTTTGATGGAAGGACTGATAACAATTCCATTATTTGTTGTAAATGCTTCACTCAGGTCTTCTTCGTGATCTGTAAGTTGAAATTCTCCACTATTTGCGTTAATCAATTCTTTTTTCACAGAAATTGTTCTTTTTCCACTTCTATTCTTTGGAATTGAACTAACTTCCGGTAATTTATCAGCTTTAACTGGCTTTCTCGATTCAAAAAGCATTTTATCTCCGTTTGAATTCATTATTTTTGGTTCAATAATGCGTATATAAGCATTTCCATCGCTATCAAAGTTAATTATTCCATCGGGAACAATTATTCCATCTTTCGTGACGTTCTCTACTGGCACATCTTCGTAGACTTCGATTGGAGTTTGTTTTCCTGATTTTTTATGGGTTACGTAATGGATATAATTATACCGCTTTGTTTTCTTTTCTTTTGGCTTTGATTTAACTTTGACAGCGATGATTTGTTGTTCATCATCTTTTTCTTCGCGTTCAACAGAGCGAGATCTGGATTTCTTTGGTTTGTCATGATCTCTCTTTCTAACAGTGATATATCTGCGCACCAAAACAAGCTTTCTCTCTGTTCCGTCTTCTGAAATTTCCGAATTCTCTGTTGAAGCGTTATCATCGTAGTAGAGACTACTGCTATCACTATCAAAGTCTGAGTTATTGCTTGACAGCAAATCTACTGGTTCAAATATCTCTTCTTCTTCCAAGAATTCTTGTAATTTTCCAGTCAAAGGATTCATCCTTTTCTGTATCATTGTGATTCTTCTCTTTCGTAATCTCTGGCGATTTGGAGTTAGCTCAAGAGATTTGGAGCGATGCATCGAAGAAGGAAAATCTGAATACGATTTATGCAGATTTGAGAGATGTGGTGGACTGAATTTCCTTCCACTAAGTGTATGCGCTGATTTATGCGTTATTATATCTGATTCAGAAAGATATTCTGAAGCTTCAATTCGTTTTTTACTTTTTATCGTCTTTTTAGTAGGTTTTCGAGTAATATCGCTGTTAACTGATACCTCAGTAGATTTAGAACGCATCTTGGTGATGGAAGAGTTTTTCTCGTTATTTCGTGAAGTCAATTTTCCAACATATCGACGTATAATTCGACGGTGAACTTCAATTGGTGTTCCTATTGGATAATTTTTGTATTTGTCTGATAATTGAGAAGTATAAACATCATTTCCAAAAATTTCTTCGACTGGCTGTGTATCTGCAGGAATTCTATGGACATCTATATAAATTGTTAGTTCTTGTATTAGTTTTATTTGACCATTTTTCGATTTTTCTTCTCGATATTGAATATTTCGATCTAAAGTATCGTCTAATCTATGTGTATGATTAATATTAAACAATTTATAGAAATCTTGTGGGGTAAAGTCTCTATCTATTTCAAATTGCATATTCAAATTGTACCTAGGAGCTCCAGATTTAGGTACAATCGTTGTCAAAATTTTGAATTGATAACGCCGACGATTATTTTTCATTTTTTTCAGATTACAAAATCAACTCATCATTTGATTTTGTATCAAACAACAAAATATGATGTAATAAAAGAATTCTAGAAAAACCAGTTAGAGTTTACTAATCGCTCTCTCAGAAGTTTGGAGAGTGAAATTTTCGATCATAGCTTGATGTTTGTGTGTTACACGATTCAGTTGTAGCAAAATTCAAGAAAAAAATGAAAAATAAAACAAAATAAAAAGAAAAGAAAAGTTAAAATCATAGCAGACAGTAAATATTTATTTGAAAAATAAATATAGCTTGATAGAAAAAATTTAATAATATCAAAATAAAAATAAATAAAATTTGATAATATTAAATTTTGTATCAATTCATACAAACATTATATTTTGGGAAAACATACGATTTGATAGATTTCGCATTTTCAAAAAACTGAAATTGAATCGCGTTCTTCAATAAAAGCCTTAAAGCTAATAACTTCAGGCTCGGAATCTGCTCTCTGGATGTGATGGCAAAACATCTCATCCTTGTTTCTATTTATGGATTTGTAATTTGTTGATGAAAAATTGAAAGGTGTTTGCGGACGAGGAAGCCAAGCTGCTATTTGCTCAGGTCTCTGATTGAATACACCCATATAATGGCCAGACTCATCTGTTTCAGATTCGGTATCATCAACTTGGAACCAGATAGAGTCCATTAAAGTGGCAAACCGTAGGATTTTAGCATTTGTGATATTTTAGAAAAGCCGTTTCGGTTTATCTGAATTTTTATTTGAATTTTAATTTGAAACTGCATTCAAATGAACTAATTCTTCATCAACGAAATTACAAGTATGTCGTTTCCGTATGTTTACCAAATGCGGTTTTTATGAAAAAAAAATAGATATGGCATCATAAAATACTGTTAATGAATTAATCATTTTTGTTTGGTAAACTTATTAATCTGAAAAAAAAAGTATTTGAAAATTATTGTCTATAATGATAAGTATATTATTAACAATCTTCAATCTTGAATGTTTCGTTGAATTGATTGTGAGAAAATTTCGGTTAAATTTTGCAAATTGAATTGACATTTAAAATCAAAATTAATTATATCATAGCCACGCGCTAATTTCTCTTTGCTGTTGACAATTTCGAGTAAATTTATTAACTGTCAAAAATCTTTGATAAATTTTGTTGATTCTTGACTGCGTGGGATGGTGTTTTATTATTAAAAATATGTCATTTTTTCTTATTTTGAGAGGGGAAAAATGTATCGTTGTTGTTTACCTCTATTACGTCAGTATCGAAAAAATCAATTACTGCAAATGTAATATTACTATTTCTTCGAATATCCGTTGCTTACAGGAAACCAGTGCTCTTAGTAAAGCTGGAAAATAAAACATATAGCAATTATTTATAAATAAAGACGTTAATACCCTAATGCAAATTGAATGAGAATTTTGTTAATGTGCGCTAATAATTTGGTTCTGTAATGTATATGGTTTTTACAAATTTGCCAAAATTCCAGTTAATTCCATAAATTTTATATAAAGTTCATGTCTCGCTGTAAAGCTATATGTTAAATTTTAGCAGGTTAAAAGGATAGTTTTTATTATAATGAAGTGGAAGAGAATCATTAACTCACAAAGAAGTGTTTATAGATAAAGATTGAATTAATGAAACATTTAAATTATTTGTACATTTGATTCACTCAATTCTGCTGTTCCAAAAAATAATTTTGGAGGAAATGCATCAATCTCTAATGGAAAATATCCGCATTCTCTATCACTAATTGTTTAAGTACAAATTACGTATTAACACACTGTTATTTCCCAAAAAAGTTATTTCAATAAATTGGAAATTAATGTTAAAAATGGTTTCATTGAATAAAAAATAAATAAAAACTACTTATCATAGATATTGTGTTTGTTTCTGTACAGTTGCAAGAGAACTATAATAATATTAATTCATCAGTGTAAACTTTTCAATGATGATGAAATCTTCATAATTAAGCCGAACAATATTAAAAGCTAGAATATAGAGTATAAATGTGATTTTATATTTAATAATCTGATAAAGGAAATAGTATGATTTATTTAAAAACCGTAAATAGTAAAAATATTTATTATCTAATTAATCTTCGTCTACCCTTGAAAGATACATAGACGCCAGTATTGCATAATTTGTTCTGTATACTGGCTTATTATATGAGAAACAATTGAAGATTCCTTCATATGAAGTGTAGTTTAATGGTTTGTGATGACAGAACTTTGGAGATCTGTAGCAACACATTACATATGAAATATTAATAATTGGATTGAGATTATTCTTAGTCATTGATAATCGCATGTCATGAAGTCCAAAATGAACAATTGTGACATTATTAGATACATTGAAGAATGCAAAACCTTCAAACTTTATATCATCATTTGTTGTAATGTTTCTTATTGGGTAACAATTAGTAAACACTCCATAGTTGATTATGCTTTTCTGACTGATATTAACATAAGTCAACTCAGTACAATCTTCGAAAGCATTATGATCGACAAATGTATTGTTTGGGATAAATGTCTCATTTATAATTGATGACATGAAAGCCCCAACTCCTATACTCATTATTGTATAAGATAAATCAATCTTTTTGATATTGCTGGATGCAAAAGAATACTCTCTTATAATATAAGTGTTCTTCGGAATAACTAATTCATCTGAGAATGCATCTGTGAATGACCAATTTCCAACGTTAACTAAAGAAGTTGGAAGAGTAATATTACTTGTGTTAACTCCTCGGAATGAATGCTGATCAATTGATATGGTTCCGTTTGGAATTGAGATGTTTACCAGTTTAAGGAACGCAAAACAATACTGTCCAATCAATGCACTATTTAATGTTTCTGGGAAAATAAGAGACTTGATAGGAGCGTTATAGAATGAGTAGCTTCCAATAACTTGAACAGATGATGGGATGTTGATTTTTGTGATGCTACTATTGTAAAAGGCGTAATCAGATATTGTTGTTAATCCTTCCTTCAAAGCAAGGCTCTTTAATGAACAATTCTGAAATGCATTGCTCCCAATTGTTTGAAGTGAAGATGGAAGATCCATGTAAGAAATTATGCTATTGCAGAATGCATGATCATCAAGATTTGTTAAACCCTCGGGAATTGTGATGTTTGGAATTGATGTATTCTGAAATGCATATGAATTAATATTTCTAATTGAATGAGGAAATGTTATTTTTGAAATGTTACTAGAATGTAATGCATATGAATATAATGTTGTAAAGTTTTCTTTAAGATTTAAATAAGAGAGGGATGTATTATAAAATGCATATTCATTAATATATACAAGACCTGCTGGCATTTCTGCATTTTTCAGAGAAGAATTATAAAATGCATAGCTTTCGATGTACATCAATCCACTTGGAAGATTTATTGTTTCGAGCAATGAATTTTGGAAAATTGCATATGAAATTGTTTGTACCTTTGATGGTATTGTAATTGTTTTGAATGTCGTATATTGGAAACAGTATTGTCCAATTGATTCAAGTGTTTCCGGGAGTTCGATGCTTTCTAATACAGATGCGTTATAAAATGTATAGCTATCGATACTTGTGATAGAATTTGAAAGCTGAATTTGACGAAACATGCTATTTGCGAAGGTATATGTATAAATATATGTTACTAAATTAGGAATTGTAATCGAAGGAATATTGCTACAATCAAAGCAATATGATCCAATATAGTTAACAGAATCTGATATATCTACTAAGAGGCACGATGCATTATAAAAGCAATAAGAGTTGATTGATGTTAATGTTGATGGAAGATATATATTTTTAATGCATGTATCACGAAATGCACTTGAAGATAGAGTTGAAAGACCTTCTGGAACTCTAATTTCATCAAATGAACATCCAGCAAATGCATATTGGCCAATGGATCTTACACTATCTGGAATAATAAAACCATCAAAGCTAGTGTATGCGTATTCATAGTCATATATACTGTACCTGTCACTGGGTAGTGTGATATGAGGCATGGGAGTCCATGAAAACGCACAATTTCCAACACTCATGCTTGATGTCATGTTAAATGATATCAATGACGAGTTAAAGAAGGCATAATCCCCTACGTATGCATATAATTAATCTATCTGATCAGATTAATTATATTGAATCTTATGCATTTGGTTATTGTCCTATTAAATCGATTATTCTCCCGAAATACTTATCATCAATAAGTGACTATGCTTTTTATAAAACAAAGCTTGAATCAATAAATCTGAGTGCAAGTACATCAATTGGGGAGTATGTATGGGGTTACACACCGATGAAACGCTATGAAATTCCATATGGGCGAACTTCAATCTATGAGAATGAACTTTCTTCAATGACATTAGATATTTTGATTATTCCGCCAACAATTAATTATATTGACTCATATGCATTCAGCCAACTAACAACGCCAAATGTAACCATTCCCAATGGAACTCATGTAATATATTACAATACTTTTTCACATGCTAATATTCCTCAAATTGTTCTACCAGACAGTTTGCAAACTATTTATTATGATGCATTCTATTATTGCAATACGACACAAATAGTAATTCCTCCAAATGTTAATTATATTTATTATGAGGCATTTGAATATTGTTATTTCACTTATGTCAATATTTCTGAGGGAATTACCACGATAAATTATCAAACATTTCAGTGGAGTTTTTTAAAGAGAGTTTCACTCCCTTCAACACTTCAATCTATTGGTAGTCAAGCATTTTATTCCACTCCTTTGGAAAGCATTGATTTTCCAAACAATTTGTCAATCATTGAATCAGATGCATTTTCAAACACATCTTTAACAACAATTTCATTCCCTATGTGAAGAAGTATTTGTGAATTGCAACATAAGTATTATTTATATAACTTCTAATTTCACAACGCTTAATCGCTCTTTTTCAAATTGCAGATGTAAAAATATGTTCATTCCGAATAATTCAATATCGGAAATTGAACCATTCGAATTATCAGGAACTCTTATCAAAGAAATAACTATCCCTGAAGGTGTAACAACCATAGATAGCAGTGCATTTTCAGGTAGTATTATGGAAAAAATTACTTTCCCATCAACTTTATATTCTGTTGGTAGCTATGCATTTGAAGGAATTCCATGCACAAGTATAAAGTTCAGCCATGTAAACACCCTTTATGATTCATGTTTTATTGGAAGTAATATCAAATATATTGAACTTCCTCCTTCAATATCCACGATTGGATCCAATTGTTTTTATAATATATCTTTAGAAACATTAATTCTTCCACTCACTTCTAATTATTTGTATATTGATTCATTTGCTTTTGCATTTCTTACTTTCACAAACTTTACCATCCCAGATAATACTTATCATATATCAGAGCAGGTATTTAGAGGGTGTGTTATTGAAGAAATGATTATTCCTGGTTCATTGAGCTATTTTGGAAATTGGACATTTACAGACTGTCTAATTGATGAATGTATTATGAAATCAGGAATTACGAACCTGCAAGAATATAGCCTTGCAATGTCTGACATAATAAAGCTTGAAATACCTTCTTCCTTAACCAAGATCGACCAATTCGCTTTTATGTCCTGTGCCGTTGAAGAGATTGTGATACCTAATTATTGTAATGTCTCCAATAATGCGTTTGAGGATTGTTACAATCTAAAAAGAGTGACAATTGGAGAGGGATGTATAATAGGAGCAAATGCATTCTATAAATGCTATTCTCTCATTGAATTAGTTGCTTATGACTCAATCAGTTTTACAAATAATGCATTTGGTTCAATATCGAAATCAATTGCAATTAAATATCTTGGAACTTCAGATTCATCAATTTCCTCAACAATTAGCAACTTCAAACAGATTGCTTCTATTGTAAATGTAACATGTAATTATCCAAGTTCAACATTTTGCGGAATGTCTGTTAATAAATTGCCATGTTAATTGATATGTAAACAATTATGAGAATCCTAATAAACGGTTATACTTTACATAATCATTTTTATTTTATTTTGAACTCAAATACAAAAAAAAATATAATTATTTGAAATTTAATCCGTCTTCATTATGAAAATCTTTCAATTTTTTGAATTAATGCGGAATAAAAATTAAATGATTCATTTTTCCTATATTGAACCATAATTTTGAATAATAACAATCGTAAAATTATATGAAGAGTCATAATATCCCTAATTTAAAATTTTTTGTCTAAAATCTTGTAAAATTTTTTTCAGAGGTCACAGGATGGAAGAAGTCACCGGAAAGCTTGTAGAAGCTTTTGTAGCATTTCATGAGATGAATACCAATCCTGCAGCTGTAACACAAGAAAAAATTAACGAAATTTCTACTACGATTGACAATTGTGCAAAAGATTACTTTTCAATATACGCATTCATTCATATAATCAAGTCCCATCCAGATACTATGATTCGATATTACGCTGTGACCAATTTTGGTCTTGCATTTAAGTATAATTGGATAAATAATGATAAACAAACTGAAATTTTAACTCTTTTATTCAATATTTTAGCAACAGAAGAGAATGCAAGAATCAGAGAAGGTATTGTTGCTAGAATTTCCAAGTTAACATCAGAATTTTTAGGAGAACTTTGCATTCAATTTGCTCGCGATGCTATGAATTCTCAATCACCAATTCACTTACTCTCTGCAGTCAATCTTATTGCTTCAACTGCTAAATTATACTCGAAAGAAGACCCAATTCCAGAATTTTTAAGAAATCTTGCCAAACTCTCAATCTCCTTAGGAGACACAGAACTTACACTTGCATCATACGATATGATCTATAAATACTACATTGAATCTCAAGCCGACAACAATGATGACATTCAAGAAATTTTCCAAAGTTCTGTCCAACTCTTACCACAATATTTCGAAAACAAGCAGTTATTCAGCCAGTTATGTAGGATTATTTCCAATCCTCTTGACTTAGGAGCTGATTTCACTCCATTAGAAAACGTCACTGAAATAATATTGGATCTTTTCAACAGAGAAGCAGATCCAGCAATTTTATCTGATTGTGTTCAAGTTATTGATGCTCTTATGTCTGGTTACCCTGAATTTATGTCGCAACAAGAATTTATTCTCCCTCTCTACAACAGATACGTCGAGGTTGCATCGGCAAACTTCATAGAAGGTGCACAATTAGTCGATCAGCAGCTTGTTGACATCTTCCAGTACTTAGTTTCCAGTTTATCCCTGAATAGTGACTTTCTTGAGCATGTTTGGTCATCAAAGGACGCTTTGATGGAGTCAGAAGCAGGCCAGGTCATCTGCTTCCTCACAACAGAGTACGCAATGCCAAATGGCCATGATTTTTACGAAAATATTCTCGACGAACTAGTAGATTTCATCGACCAAGGCCTCCACTCAGAATTTCCGGCGGTTTTCGATACAACTGTTGCATGCTTAAATGTATTTATTGACCAATTTGAGGCAAATCTTGAAGATTACGCCTCATTACTGGAAGAGAGCCTCTTAGACCTGATAGAGCAGCACCAGAACTTTGATTCAATAACAATTCTGGACTGCATCTTCAGAACTGTCAAAGATTCAGATAATATTTTCGAAAGAGCGCTAAATCTCTTTGTTGCTCTTGTTGAAACAGTTCCCAAAGACCTTAGATATATCTGCATCCGTGCAATAGCCGATTTGTCCAAGTCCAGCCAGTCATTAATTGAACAATACGCAGAACAAGTCTTTAACATCGTCAACATGATCATCCAAGCTGACGAAGACTCAGAACTCAATGAACTCAAGCCAGAAGCTGTTTCTGTCCTGGGAATTCTCATTTCCAGAGTTCCACAATTATTTGCCTCTAATTTAGAAGAGATTTCCTCATTTGTCATTGAGTCCTGGCAGTCTGAGACAGATTCAACCCTTGTTATTGACAGCCTGAACACATTTGGCTACATGATCAACACGTATCAAGAGCAAATCATCTCCATCATCCCAGATGCGCTCCAAATCATCTCCCAGCTCTCCAAGCAGGACAAAACCAAAGACCTTGTCGACCTTACAGCCGCCCTTGCAGAACAGGCCATGGTTACCGACCAAGAAGGCGAGGACACAAACGAAAACAACATTTTTGCCAACGAAGACGAGTACAAGATTGCCGGAGCTTCATGTCTCTTGTACGGAAACATCCTCATGACTTACTCCGACCTGCTCCAGCAGTACATCGAAGACTTCCTTGGTACTGTCTCCATTTTGACTGACTCTGTCTTAGACTTCTCCATCTCCTACGCAATGCGCGGTCTTTCCTACGTAATCGAGGCGATGGGCTCTGTCGGCTTCTTCGATCCGGAAGTGATCAAGAAGATCATGGTCAACGCGCACTCCGCGGCTGAGTCGAACAACTCCGACAACGTCGCCTGCGCCATCGAAGTATACGCTGTCTGTGTCTGCGTCTTCGGACTGGAGCACCTCGGGGAGGAGTTCGGACAGATTATCGACATCCTCGACAGCGTCGTCAGACTGAACCACGCTTGTTACGACGGCAACCTGGAGATACCAGAGGGATTCTTCGGGCCAGTCAGGCAGTTGTTCAGGGAGATCTTCGCTGTTTTCGACGGAAAGGAGCTGCCGGAAGAAGTTACGAAGATGATTGACGAAGCGATCATTCCTCTGCTGGACAAGAGCTCAGAGCAGGCTGCATTTTCACTCGGAGTGTTGAGCAGATTCGTCGAATCACAGAATGTTTCAGACGAATTCGCAACAAATGTCTTGGAAAGAGCATTGAACACTCAGCTGAAATTCGCGATTTACGAAGGTTTCTATTTCATTAAATGTCTGGCAATAAAGAAACCAGAAATAATACAGAACCATGCAGACTACATCAAACAGCTGTTCCACACAAAACTCACGCAGAAAGGCAAGTCTGCATCCGCTTACATGATGATGAAAGATAACTTGGTCACGTGCTTCGGACAGATTGTAATGAACATCCCGAATGTCTACAGCGATGATGAGTTGCCGCTGTACTTCGACAGGATTCTGGATCTGATGCCAGCAAACGAGGACCACCGTGAGGATGCCTCAATGCTGGAGTTCTTCTTCTGGATCGCTCAGAGGTACAACGTTCCAGAAAAACTAGCAGCAGTATTAATCAGATTCTTCGCGATGCCAAAAGAGATTTTGGTGAGCACTGGAATAGGAGAGGAACAGATCGGAACTATCAAGTTGGCATTGAATAAACTGCTTCAGCAGATTCCAAATTATGAACAGTTTATTATGAATGTTTGCAAGAATGATGAAATCAAAATTGCTCATGTTAGTCAGATGCTTAACTAATTCAATAAATAAATTAGAGTTTTTCTTTTATATCACTTAATTTCCCCTTTTTTAACAGGGATATATTTGTTTTTATTATTATATGCGTTAATCCATTTCAGAACAAATCCTTATAGGATTATTCATCCAATGCTTTTAAACTGCTTCATAATTTGAGAGTTATATAACTCAAAAAACGCAAAATTTCTGTATGTTAAATTTCCATATAAATAAATTACATTACAGTTTAGCATAGCAAAACAATCAGAAGATGCAAGAATAATTTAAAAGAATGTACGAAATTTTTTATTTATTAAAATTGAATATATTTCAATTTTTGAGAAGTCTAAATGAAATCTTATATTTTAATACGTTAAATAAATTTTATTAATCTGATTAGTATTAAAATTTTTATTTGAATCCATTTGAAGTTTTGAAAAGTATGATCGTAAATTGAATTGATATTCAAAAGCCAAAAAATCTAAATGAATTTAGTCGGATTCATTGTTTTTTTTTCATTTCATAGTATTATTAACAACAATAATGTGTTTAATTTTACGATCATCATATTTATTTTTGCGAAGGTTTTAATGTACCTTATAACAAAAATTGACCTCAATATCATCTATTGTCACTTCATTAACTTACAATAAGCTCAGAACTGTATATGAATATCCATGTGGAAGCGAACTCCATAATTGTGCCCCAATTGAAGTTGAATTACCTTGTGGAACCTATTTCTTCGAATTGTGGGGAGCCAGTGGAGGTAACACAACTTATGGATATGGAGGATACGGATCATATACAGCTGGTTTAATTGTTTTAAAAAATCGCCGAAAAATTTATCTTAATATTGGAGCTCATGGTTCAAGTGCCGATAGTTCACATCCATACAATGGTGGTGGAAGAGGTGGTAGTGTATTATATTCCACAAGTAGAGGTGGATGCACTGATATTAGATTAAAAAGTGGCTCCGATTTTGAATCATTAAAGTCAAGAATTATTGTGAGCTCTGGTGGTGGCGGGGCTACTACATATAGAGATGCTTCTGGTAATGGAGGAAGTGGTGGTGTATATACAGGATATCCTGGTGGCTATGCTGATAACACTCCTTCACTTTCATATACTGTAATTGCTAATACAGGCGGAACTATAGACCAAGGAGGAACTGCTAGTAAAGGAACGCATTCTGACTATTCAAAAACTACTGGCAATAATGGCGCATTTGGATACGGTGGAGATGTGAGAAATAATGGGATAGCTGGTGGAGGTGGTTGTGGCTATTTTGGAGGAGGATCTGGAGATGATGGCAATGATGTTGTGTCAGCCGGGGCCGGAGGGTCTTCATACGTTTCAGGTTACCAAGGATTTAAAGCTATTGATCCATCGTCTACCTCAGAAACCAATTACAAAATGCTGAGTGATTCATATCACTCGAGCGGATTTTTCTTTACGAATGTAGTTGTGGCAGACTATTCAACCTCTTTCCCATCACCTTCTCAATCAACAGAAAAGGGACATGTTGGAAATGGTGCAATTGCAATTACGGTTCTTAATCCAAATTATGCGACATGCGAAATTGCAATACCAATTCCAATCACTTATATATTACTAGGTTTTGCCGTTTCCTTATAGAAATTCTTTTTTGATTTATATTGTATTTTGAAATTTAAAATAAAATGCGAGCGTTATTACCAATAAAAATTATATCCCTGGTTCTGGGATTCTAAATTTACGGTTATAGTTAACATTTTATACATAAATCCAGAAATGTTAATGTTTTCGAGGGTAGCAGATAGCTCAGAGGAATTCCTAGGATAGTGCTAATATCATATTAACTTAGAAGTATCATTTAAGTACTGTAATAATAGCTCTTATATCTTCTTTAATTGATTCATGCAGTAAAAATAAAATATTTGGTAATTTTCTTAAAAATGTCATCAACTTCAAATAAGTTCAACAGCCATCACATTTGATTTCTACATAAATTCACAATAAAAATTTAAATTTAATAAAAATCAATTATTCTATGTTTTTAGAGAAAAAATACATTAATAACATATAATAAAATGTTTTTATAGATTTAAAGTTATGCGGATAAGATTTTTTGATTCGGAAATTCTTAATTTTAATATTCAAATTCCAAAAAAAAAATTGATTCAAAAACTATTATTGGCATTTACTATGAAATATTCATGGTTTTCCTGATTTCAAATTTTTTTTGGAAAACTAAAAAGTGCTCAGAATTTCAACAAATGTCAAGGGTGATCATTATGACCAACTTTAACAGTCGAATTCAAAGTTTTTTATATATTGCAAATTAATTTTATAAAATTATTAATTCCTACACCCAAAAAATGGATTCTTTCACATAAGAAACTTTCTAGACTGCAATCAACTTTCTTTTAGAAGAATCAGAATATTTCTACTTATACTACGATCTCTAGACTATCATCGCACATATGATCTCATTAGTTTCTATCTTACATTATAAATCAGCTTAAATTTTAACTGTCTTTCTACTAATTTGTTAATTTTTTTTTTCAAAATCAATTTTATAAGAATAAAATCTATTCTAACATAAGTAATTAGTTTTTCTGACACATAAATTTTTATTATTTTAATGAAGAGTAAATAAAAAATATAAATAAATTACTTTGTTTCATCATGTTCATCAGGAGAGCTATATTCCTGACCAAGAGAGAAGTTTTCAATACCTGTATATGTTGAGCTTGTTGGGAGGAACTCAGAATTTAACTGGAAGTCTGTAGAGTACAAATTAGTATAATCTGTTGATCCTGGCTCGATAAAAGCTTCTGGCTTAGACAATCTTGCGCTTACGAGATTCCAATCAACTCCTTCGAAGAATTTCGACTTTTTAATACCTGCTATAGTAATTCTTTTCTTTGGATCTTTTTCAAGGAGCTGCAGAATGAGCTCTGAGATTGGAGATCCTCGGAATCTGACGAATTTAATACTATTTTCTAAAATGTTCTTTTTGATCTTTTCGGGAGAATCTGCAAAAAATGGAGTTTCCTCGTAAAGAATTTCGTAAAGAATGATTCCAAGAGACCACCAATCAACAGCTTTTCCATATGGCTGCCCTTGAATAATCTCAGGAGCAAGATATTCCAGTTCACGATGTGAACTGATATCTGTGCCATATCCACCAAGCTTAACATGACCATCTTTTGCTAGGAAGATGTTTGAACTCGTTAAGCCACGGTAAACAATGAAGTGGTTGTGAAGAAAATCTAATGTCACAACTAACTCCGAGGCATAGAAACGGAGTACATCTTCAGGAATCATGGGAAGGCCAGATAAGAATGGAAGAAGCTCACTTGGAGGATATTCAAGTGACAAGTAGTAATTATTTGCGTCTTGGAATGTATAGAGTAGATTTAATAAGAATTGATTCTGTGGGAGTGAGAAAATTAAATTCCTTTCAGGGATGTACGACTCTACATGACTGAATTCGACAAGTTTCTTCTTGCCAATTTCGATAATGACATTAAGGGTGTCATTATATTCACAAAGCGTAATATCACCATATGGACTGCTCCCAAGTTTTGTAATTTTCCTAAATTGAGCGTAGTTATGATTTGATGTTGAAAAAATACAGCTGCGGAGGCAAAACACCCAGGAATATACCTCAACAGGTGATGCTTTGAGTTCATAATGCTTGAAATTTTCGTTTTCTATATAAAAGGTTGGCATTCCTTGACAATCTTGTAAAAATATATTTGTCTGCTCATTTATTTCTATCTGTTGAATGATTTCTTCAAAACTCTCTGTCTTGCTTACTTTGAGAGTGCATCCCTCAAGCCAATAGTGAAGAGGAATCCAATTCCCCGATCCATCGGAGCAGTGTAACAGGACACCCTTCATTTTTTGAATTTTTTTTTAAAAATATCGAGAATTGGTTTGTAGGCTGTTAGTTGAGGGCTAATAAGAATAATCGATGCATAATTAACGTGTAATTATGTGACGCTACAAATTGAGAACAAATAAATTTTGTAACAAATTACTATAAAATTGAAAAAGATATAAAAATGATTTAACACTTAAAATATGAACAAAAAATTAAATAGGCGGTTCAAATTTTACCCCCTGATATTTTTTTTTGCCATTTATATTTTGATAAAATTTATAGCGAAAACTTGCTTTTGGATTATATTCACGAGTAAATTATCGAATGTAATTGCAAGGAAAATTATTTAAAGTGATATCTTATGATTATATTTACCATCTTTTAATTTTTTAATTTAAATCATGCCAATAAACAGTTAATATCAAAAGTGAAGCCAACAACAAACATGAATACGTTACACACCGTTTTTTGAGAACTCACAGCTGCAAGCATCCTTATTAACAATTTCGAATAAATCAAAAGAGTCTCATGTAAAAGACTATGTGAAATTTATCATACATAAAAGGGTCTTAAACGACATTTGGCCTCTTCATTTTCGATTAATTTAAATTAATCTGAAGTTAGAGTTTACCTGAGTTCATCACTTCTTCCAATGATAGAAAGCCCCCTTTGGTTTGCCTTAATTTCTGTTATTGATTCTTGTAGCTCTATATTTTTTTTTAATTTCTCGGAAATTGAAAAATTTGAGATGATACATTGAATTACGTAATTTCAAAAAGTTTCAATTATTAAATTTGAAATAATAATAATTTGATAATCAAAGTTATAAAGTAATATGTATAAATCTAAAGGAGAATTTTATATATTTATATTAAGTGCTTACACAGATATACTTCTTATCGTTCCCATTATTCTTTTGGCGAAAAATGATTTTTTGCATATTTTTGTTTTTCTTCTTCTTCTTCTCCTCGGATATAGAATCATTCTTTTTGTCATGAAGCCAGTTATGAATCCGAAAAATCAGAACAAAACATATTGTTCAAGGGTCATACGAAAGACAATTTTTCTCTGATGAAAATTTTAGCCGAGTCGATTTAAAACTTTTTTCAACTTAAGGATACCCTTACATTGCGTAGTTAGAAAGAGAATATGATATTGTCATGATTGCTAAAGTTTTAGGCTCCAGAAATGAATATACATCAAACTGAAACAATTGATAAATTGAATGAACTTTTGAGAGGTTCTCAAATAAAAAAAATTATCTAATTTTTTACAATATTACTATTATTTTATCCACATATGTATATATAGTAATTTGAGAAAACTTTTAGGAAAAAATAAGTTTAATAAAAATCTGAATTTTACTTGTTGTGGGATTGTTATTAATTGACACTCCAGACGTATTACTAATAGTTATGCGTATGCAATTAAAGTATTTCTGATGGACAAAATGTGAGATTTATATCAGATAATTCATTTCTACTATTAAGTTATTCATTTATGAGTTTGCACTTATTCGCACTAAATAAATAACTATTAAAAATTGTTTTAATTAATTGACACCATATAATAGAGTGAATTTTGTTTGATCAAACAACAATAGATGATAGATATAAAGCCAAGAAACTTGCTATTAATATGCTCTACTTGCTATTTCAATGTAAGTATGATATTTTCTAAATGTTTCGTTCAGATAACTTAGATATATTAGTCAAAATTTGAAATTTTAATAGCACATATATTAAAAATAATTATTATTCATAAAAGATTAATGAAATAGTAAAAAAAATCAATCAAATTATAAAAATACAACATTTAGAAGAATTCTTATTATCCTTCAAAAAGTCAGTATTTCTGCTGTAATTTTCTACAACATTGTAGTTATTGCACTTTGTCTATGGATTTGTATATATGTTATATATAAATTATATATCTAAACTGCCCATAAGTGCAATTTTTATATAAATTGTTTATTTCTTTAACAATTTCATATGAAATATGCTTTTTTAAGCGTATCAAAGCTGTGTTCTTAATGTGCATGGATATATCAAGAAAAATGTCGAAAAAAAAATGTGAATTCACAAATTCACTGAATTTTCACCGTTTTTTGAATTTTGCTACAGCACTAATATTAAATAATACTAAAATCTTCTGTCTTTGTAAAAGAATCTATTCTGACAAAAAGTGCTCGTTTAAATTTAATGATCATCTGTATGACTAAGTGGTAAAAAGTGTTTATGACCAAAAAAGGGTTACATGCTTAGTCTATTTTTCTGACAGGATACTCTAGATTTACATGATCTCTATTTCATATCTCCGTTTTTAGATTCTTCGACAGATTTTATGATAGAAAACCAAGATTAACAAATTTCCGGCATGTTAATGAAGAAATCTGCAGCTACCCTCAATATTATTTCAATAATCAGTATCGTTTCTCTTACAATTTATTTTTTTCTCAATAATTTAACAAGAAATAACAATACACACTTGGTTTTACGTATAAAAGCTAAGTGTCGAACTTAATCAACTTTACTTACTTAGCAAATGAATATTTTTGTGGTTGCGAGTTCTGAATGCTGAAGTTTTAGATTTCTCTATAAATGATATCATTGCACTTACAATGTTGTTCCAGCCTATCGCATAAATCATAGAAAATCCAAAAAAAAAAATAATATAAAGAAAATTCATGTCATGAAGTTCAAAAAATACCGTGTAACATTAAAATTTGTTATGCATAATACATTTTAGCTATTATTGATTTTTTTTAATTTTCGAGAAATTGAATAGTGAGTCCGATAGAGAAATTTTTAAAAATCCTAGTGCCTCATAGAAGTAATTTCCCTCGTCTCCCATACTTCCAAATGTATGCATATGACATAAACTTTTATGCATTACACAAATGGCCAATAATATCTATAGAGTAAAAAATTAGAAATTTAATTTTTTTATATGATAGTTATATTTCAGATTTGCGAGCGTAACTTTTTTCTCCATGGCATACTTGTTTTAAGAGCAAATGATCAAAATCGTCCTTCAATTATTGAAGGAGCTGATATCTTTTGAAAATTGAATTGAAAGGGTATTCAATTTTTCAAATTTCCTCTCAATTTTGGAAACATATCAACTCTATGAATTAACAATTATGTGCCTTCACAGTTTATCAGTCATATAAGGTGCTTATAAAGAAAAAAGTTACGCTCGCAAAATATGTTTTTATATAGATTTCACATAAAATAATTATGTAATTTCTAAAAAGAATATTTTTGTTCTTGAATATTAAAGTGTATTGTAGTTTAAAAAGTTTTAAATATGTTGCTAAAATTTCAGGTTTATAGCTCATGTCTAGCATGACTTCTTCGTATGCGCAAAAAATCTGACACGTAAGGGTATCCTTAAAATATAAAAATATTAAGTTTGGTAATATTGTATGTAATACATTCTGAAAAAAATAGTGATAATTTTGCAAATTACCACAGACTATTTCAGAGGATTGAGTGGCAACTCAATCCTCTGAAATAGTCTGTGGTAATTTTTAGTCTCTACACTATTTCAATATAAGCTCCATTTTTAAACAGTTTTTAAAAATCGAGCATTGAAAAGTGTGATGAGACTTGAAGTTATCGCTTTTTTTAATCATTTTATTCAATTTACAACTGTAAAATAGAATATCCAAATTTAATATTGAAACATGTATTATTAAATTGTAACGATAATTACTTTTCAGATACTTTTTGAATTGAATTGAATTGTTTCGGCTTTAATTATTGAAAAATATAAACATATATATTTTCATCTTTTCATCCTACTGTTGACTATAATGCGAAGTATTTTTTTTGAAAAAGTTTTCAAAAATCTTTATCACAAATTTTGATCAACTTTCTATCGAAAATTTAAATTCTTTTATAAATCATTTTCTATATGATAATATTAAATTTTATAAACATCACAATTTTGCGATCTGGATTCATTTATACTAAGGATAATGTAATTATCAAAATTTTATAAAATTCGAATGGTTCTGATTTGAAGAAATAATTGAAAAGTATATTTAAATTTGACAATGAGGAAGCATCCAGCTCTAAGTTCATTACGACAGTTCAGAGGTCCATTAAAGAAACTTATTAAAAATTCTCACTCACAATCTAATGGATTATCACGCCCTTTTGGTCTAATTCCAAGTCAACCCAGCACATCGATTTTACTAAAACCGTTGGAGAGTTTTGAAGACAAAACTGTTGAACCAGTCGTTTATCAAGTTGATATTCTTTCGAATTGGGGGGATCCAGAAAAAATTGCTTGCTCAGCAATTTGGTTTTTAGATGAACAAAGACATCTGATTAAGCCAATGAAAATATCTTCAATACCATTTTCTAATCAAGAAGTTTTAAGTAAGCTATCTGGAGTTTCGCTCGTGAAGGGAGAAGAAAATATGATTTGGCATTCAAAATGGCCACCTGAAGATGCCAATACAATAACTTTAGTTTTCTTTTTACCAAGTAATCAGAAACCCGAGTACACAAGGATATGGAATACGACTTCACTTGGTGATGCTTCAGTCAAGAAAGTTCGAGTTCTTTGTGGGGAAGAAGAACTGTTTATAGGTGAAATACCTAGGTGTTATGGAACAGATGTTCATTTGTGCAATAATTTCATTAAACCGGCAAAAACTACATTTTCTATTCAAGATATTTTAGGTATAAAGCAATCCCCAGCAATTCTAAAAGACAAATATGGCATAATTCCGCTTAAACCCATTAAGCAAGTTGAAATTTCAATTTTGGCTAATTATGGCGGACAACAATATTTTGGCTTAAATGCATTAGACTTTTATGACGAAAATTATGAAATAATTCCATGGTCAGAAATCGATGACATTAAAATTAAAAATTGTGCAAACTTTACAGATCCAAAGAAGTTATTTAAAGACATCAAAGAAACTTGCGATGATAATGATATGTTTGCCGCTGAATTTGATAAAGAAAAGAAGACAATTCCAAAAATTTCCATTCTTTTCAAAACCCCAGTTTTTGTTTCTCAGATTGTTTTTTGGAACTATAATGGTTGCGCTCGTGGTACCATCATTGGAGCAAAATATGTTAGAATAAGTATGCACAACGTATCTAAATGGAGCGGAAAAATTAAAAAAGGACTCTCAGTTAAAGAAAACGTTGGAGCAACAGCAACAGCTATATGGCTTATTGACATTGATGAGCTTTATAAGAAAGAATATAAATTGAATCATTGATTTAAATCAGAATTACATCAACACAGTAATATATGTTCTATATATACCATGTTATTGGATTAGTAAATAAAAATGTTATTGTTTTTTTTTTTTTTGCGATATATGAAAAAACACTGTAAAACACAAATGGATAAAATACAATTTAATACAAACACAAACAAATTTCTATATATTAATAAAGAATATATCAATTATTATTTTTCATAAAAGCCTTTTTTTTCTTGATAGTATAGCATGGAATTTGTGAAGGGATTCTCGAAACAAGGGGTATTTCTCTTGGTAGTTTATATTGCGCAGCTCTAAATTGGTAAATTTGTTTCAAAATGCTTTGAAGTTTTTTAATCCGATAGTATAAAACATCTTCAGTATCCGAACGAGCTAAAATATGTTCTATTATTTTGCGTTTTTCAAACCCAATTGCTATAATTTCTTTCATGATTGAGTTATCAATTTCATTAACAGTAGTTGGAAGTCTTTTCAGGCTTTGCAAAACAGTAGAATCGTATGATAGTAGGGATGCATATGGACTGTCAGCAATCCAAGGATCATTTACAAATTCTTGAATTTTAATTCTTTCACTAGGATTTTTTGTAAGAATTCTGCTAATTAAAGCTTTTGCTTTTGGAGAGAGATTTGAGGATTCTGATAAGTCAAGTGGTTTAGTTTGGATTTCATGCACAATTTCTTCTGCATCTTCTAATTCACCTCCGAAAGGAAGGCAACCTTCAAGCATTGCGTAGAGAACTATGCCTGCACTCCATATATCAGAAGCTCCAGTTGAATCAATAACTTTATCAAATACTTCAGGAGCTGTATATTGAATTGTACCTGCAAAACCAGGATTTACTGAGCCAAGAGTACAACAGAGACCAAAATCAATTAAAATCGCATTATTTTGACTATCTATTAAAATATTTTCGAGTTTGATATCACTGTGAAGTAGATGGCATTGCGTATGAAGATATTGTAAGGAACTAATAAGCTGTATAAAAAACTTTTTTGCTTGCCCTTCAGTAAGAGGTCCTCGGTTGTTAATATATTGCAAAAGTGATTGCTCACCTCCATATTCTAAAATAACGAAAGATTTTGTTTCAGATGTGGAGCTGCCGTAAAAGTGTAAAATTAGTGGGTAGTCGATATTTTTATGAAATTTTATTTCATTTTGTAAAGATTCAAAATCTTCTGGATATTCAGGATCTATTTCGATCTTTTTTAAAGCAATAGTGGTCTGAGTCTTTTTGTATGTAGCTTTATAAACAGTAGACGAACCTCCTTGCTTTCCATCTTTTAAATTGTCAAAGAGATCGAAGAAAGATTCACTCATTTTATTTTTATAAATTTCATTGTAATTTCAAACACACATAAATAGATACTTGGGTAGAATTAATTTGATTTTAGTATTCAAATTGATGATTTCTATTGAAGCATTTTTTGAATCTAATTTGGACAAATTATTTCGCAAATTGATGGTTCCAATCTTATATTCAAGATAGACTTTGTATACTAACACACAATAATATAAATTCTTTCCATTTTTTTTTTGAATATCGATTGAATTAAGCCATATTTCCTGTATTATCTCAAAATCAGATACATTTGAAAATAAAATAGCATATCGAAAGAAATATCTTCTATAAATATTTAAAAATTAAAAAACATATAAATACATTACAAGATTAACAATAATATGGATCCTACAATAACAAAAACTGCCATCATATAATTTAAAATTCTTCCAGCAAGCTTTGGTCGGCTTTTTTTCAACAAAAAATATAAGGGAATTCCTAAAATTGGGATAATTGTTACAAGAGCATAATAACCAAGATCATGAGGCCACATTTTTGAGTCATCGTGATGTTGTATTCTAAAACGAGGAGTCATCATTCTTCTCAAAAATCCCCGATGATTATTTCTCATTCTTCTATTCTCTCTATACTGCATTACAGCTATATCAACGTTAATTTCTGGTGGGAGAGGATGCCTAAGGGCTACATACTCTCCATTTTCAAGTTGATACATAAATATAGGATTTTCGACTTGATCTGGCGATGGCATACTAGGAAATGGACTAATTCCTTGATAATTACTATTTGGTGGATCAATTTTAGGCGAAATTTCATCTAATTTTAGATTTTCGTCATATGGATTAATATCATCTCTTTGCTCATATTGTTGATTATGCAAAGAGTAGAAAAAATTATCGAAAATTCCAATATCTCTATTATTTACCTCAGATAACGGTGTTCGTGAATCAATCAGATCATGATCTAAACTTTCAACGATTTCATCCGATGTTGGGTTTAAGAATATCCTAATTGCATTGATATCGCTTTCAATATCTGCGAATTTGCGGATTTCCGGCAAAACGTTTGGGCACATTTTCCAAGGGAAAAATTGAAGACGAAAAAGTTCAGAAAAATTGAGATAAACCCTCTTTCATTGTGATAAAATTATACGAACAAATAAAATTTTATTACTATTTTGACTAGAAATTTAACTGTGATATTTTGATAATACATTTTCCTAATGATGTCAAAAATAATTGATTTGCCCAACTGAAATAAATTCAAAACATTAACATTTGAGCAAATTATTTGAGTAATAAATTAATTGAATTACTCTCATTTTTTGATAATATTTATGGCCGAAAATTCAAATAATAACGATGACGATAAATTTGATTGAGTTCATATTGTTATAGCCTCGATAATGCAATTTTAGGTTAAGCTTTATCTTAGCCAAACTTGATTATATAAATAAACCTCAAAATATCAAGCTTCAATGTAAATTCTTTTTTGAGTTCTATTCTTTAGACCCCTAATTAGCATTAATAGAATATCATATCTTCAACAAATTTATATTGCCATCTCATGTTTAAGAGTATAGTAAACTCAAAATTCTAGAGTTTTGAGAGTGCCAATAAACTCTATAGGCCTATATATATCTATATTTTAAAGGAGAGGTTACGCCATAATATTTGATATTATAAATTATTAATTCAAAATAAAAGTAGAAAATGAAACTAATTTTATTCTAACCTATATAAATATATCAATAATCTAAAATGATTATAGTCTGAACTATATTTTACCAGATTATCAAATATAAGAGAAATGAAATAAGGCATAAAAATATCATAGCATAATTATTGGATAAATGCATTAATAAATTATTTATATCATAATGAGAAAAAATCAAAATAAGAAAATGAGCATAATAATACCCAGATTTTCCTTACTTTTACCACTCCCCATGTAATTTCTGGGGAAAACGATAATTCATTTTTTTTATGGATGAATAGATCGTTTTCCTAGAAAGGACCTCATATCTCTGGCTAAAAAGAGTGTCAGATCCTAAATAGATTATTGATCTAGTGTACAAATCCAATAAAAAGCCTATTTTTTTGGCTTTTTTGGTGCTCATTTTTTCGAAGATCTACATGAATATGGGGAAACCATCGGATTTTTTTGGTTAACCCACATCTTCATGTAGTCTGGACTATCTTTCCTCGAAGGACCTCTTTACGGGTGTAAAAACTCATAAAGTTCTCAAAAGATTCATTCTCGATCTCCATGCTGAAAGAATTTACAATAAAAAAGAGATCTACGCATCAAACTACAGCCATAAATGAACTGAACCCCTAAAGCTCAGCTCTTAGTTTATCAAAAACGTCGAAATCCTTCTCATTGCAATCAAATTTTCTCAATAACTCATAAGAAAAATCGAATTTTGATTAAGCCGATGTTATAGGTATCACAAATACTACAAACTTGAGCAATATCGAAATTGCCAGCAAAAGTTTGAAATTGCATTGCTCATATTTGTTTTGTAAACTAAAAATCTGCTTATATTATTCATTAATTTTTTATATATTATTCATATACTTTAATAAAAACAATACTATTTCACCTTAAAAATGAATTTCATAAGTCAATATTATTTTTTTGAAAATGTATCAATTTTCGATTAAAACAACATGAGAATAAAATTTACGCAAAATTATTTTAAAAAATGGTTTTAAAAATTTACAATTGATTAAGAATAAGATTGCAAGAAGTTTTGAAGTTTAATTTTAAGAAAAAAAATTCGGATATTATTCATGGATCTAAGTAATCTGATATTTGAGTATCGGCACTATGCATAAAACATATATTTATAGTTTTTTTGGAGTTTTATGATTTTAAATATATTCAAATTTGGCAATCCAATAGATTTTTAAAAAATAGGTAAATAAAAATAGATTACATATGCAGCAGATTTAGAACATGAAACAAATCTTATAGTGACCCAAAAAAAAATTCATGATCCAAAAAAGAAAAAATTGGCTAAATGGGAATAAAACCTTGGCATAATGAATCATTATGTCGGATGTTTCCACTACACTACACCGGCAGTTCGAAAAATACCCTTGGTGGTTCTATTTAATAGCTACTCCCAACAATAGGAAAAATCTGGGTAATTTAATTAAAAACAAAAACAATAAATAAAATGTAATTTTCGTTAATCAAAGTCATCAATGTCTTCGTCTTCTGATTCCCATTCGGACTTGAAAACTTGATATTCTCCTCCTGGTACACTCTGAATGGATTTTTTGTATTTGTTTTGTTTTTTAGAACCTTTTGTAACAGTTTTTTGTTTCAATATCATTTTGGAGTAACAATTCTCTTCAAATGATTTGACACAATCTTCTGGAAGTGGGGGAAGATGTAATGCTTTTTGTATATCTCCGAGAAAATGCTCTGGATCATTCCATTCTAAGATTGCAACGTTAACTCAGTTAGTATGGTTATCTTGGGTACGGCGGCACTGCGTTCCACCTTACTCAATATAACCTTAAATATTTACAAAACCAGTAACGTATATTTTACAACACGAACGCAAAAACTAACTTAACCTTAAATATTTACAAAGCCGCCAACCACTTCACTAACGAACTCACTAATGTAAAAAATAAACGTTCTCACTATCGTTCTCACTAACGACTTCACTAATGTTCTCATAAATTTTCCTCAATATCTTCATCATCAGTGTTAACCCTATTGTAGTCATACTTGAAGCCATAAACTTTCTCTAACTTCTTAACGTACAATTTACATAACTTACCTTCGTCATCGTATGGTTTAATGATATAACTATTTCTATCTTTATACACAGTCAATGAAAAGTCAACTGGTCTCGGATGTATTTGAAAGAACATGTTATGCTCAGGAAGGAAGAATAAATGTTTAAATGTATGTTTGTTATATGTTTTGATTTGTATGAGTTGCTTTTGTTCTGTCATTTACATCCAAATAAAATAAAAAATAAAATAAAAAAAAATAAACTTAAAAATTAATGATCTCACCACCCTCACACGTATGAAAACATAGCACAAAAATAAATTTAGGTGAAGCGGTGAGATCTCACCTCTTTTTTCACCTGTTTTTTCACCCTAGCCGCAAAGCGGCTCTGACCCTTTGGGTCTGTTGAATTCATTGCTTTATAACTCTCTTCCTTTCTCCAACTCTTCTAACTTCTTCCTAAGTTCAGCAATGTTGTCCTCATGAAGTTTAATCTTTCTCAAAATTCCTTCTTTATCTAATGGTTGCTTTATCTTTCTAAACTGAACTCTACCATCCTTCATAGTATGAATGTAAAAACCTTCTGGAATAGTTCCTGATTTAATGTATTCTACCAAAAACTTTTGTTTCATTGCTTCAGTGACTTTATTTGTCATTTCAATCAAATAAAAATTTTAATATTAAATAAAAATAACGTTATTTTTTCAGTAAGGAAACGCAGGAGTTTTACGATTTATTTGAGGAGTAGGTTCTGGTTTAAATGTTGGAGTCGGTTTTGGAGTTGACTTTTGAACAGGAGTTTGTAATTCCATAGGTTCAGGAGTCATTGAAGGCGTTGGAGTTTGTTTAACTTCAGCTACTTCAGTATTATTTACAACATTTGCTTTATTTCTTTTCAACATCATAACTGCTCCTGCTGTAGCTAGCAAACCTAGTGGGGAGACCATATCTTATATAAGGACTTGACCAAATGCTATTTTTGACAGGAGCTGGTGGAACACCTAACCTTGGTGAAACTGCTCTTTGCCATTGTGCAGCTCGTAAGAAATATTCAATAGGTGCTCCATAATCGTTTGGTAAAGTTTGTTTCATAGATGGTGAAGGTTCACGAGAGCTTGATGAAGAACTCATTTATAAGCTTTAAAAATAAACGTTCATCCTTTATTCCTCACTGTCGTCCGTAGCTAAGTTATAGTCATCTAATCTTATTATTGGGATGCCATTAGCACGCACCTGAATGGCAAAGCAACAATCCCTCATAAATCCAATAAGTGGCTTTGGTACATTTTCAGTTGCTAGTTCAATAGGTCCTTTAACAGACAATTTGTATGTTATTGGAGCAGTAGATGTTTGACCTTGCTGGAAGCAAAAGTCCACTTCTGTTGGAAAACCACATAAGAAATGTGTGTTGTCATAGCTATCCCATTTATGTTCCACACTACCATCATCCACCAATGACCTCATAACATCTTCATTAAATCCTATCATATCATTGTTTGTATTGCAAGCGTTCGCAACCATTTCATAAAATACAGGTCCATATGATTTTTCGGGTTCTGCAGGCATATTTCCATAAGCTCCCATGGAAAGCTGAAGATATTTAAACTTAGGGTTCTCAAAATTAACATAATAGTTGTCTTTCTTTCTAAATAGTGCCCAAATACTTTTAACATTAATAGGCGTATAAGCTGCTGTAAATGTTGCACTTGAACTATCTGTATTCTTTGAGAATGAACCGTCCATAGGAATCCAATCCATAACTTTAACAGGAAAACATAAAGCCTCGTTTGTATAATGTTCTACAAGTTCTGTATAAATGTTAGGGTCTAAAGAGAATGACTTTGGATGAATGAAACATTCATTAAAATCCATCTTTGTTCGAAATAGTTGTTGGGTTACAGTTGTAATAGTAACTGTTCCACTAGCTTCTACTGCCTTCGTTATCATAGTGAATGGTTCATTCCATGGAACAAATTTATTTGTCGGTGGATTTGAATCTGAAGCAAATGCAACTTTAAGAGTTGGATTGAAAGCAATGATATCATTTACAGATATAGATGTGCATTGTAAGGCGTCGCTACTGAACTTTACTTTAAGCTGAATGTTTCCTGCAAAAGCTGGAATAAATCGAATAGCTTCTAATGGAAGGAATCTTCTAACAGGAATTCTTAAACGAAGCTTAAAATCAAATGATTTTCCTGCTGTAATTGGACCACTAACAATTTGTCCTGTTCTGCATGTTCCCGAATGACTCCATACATCTTCATGTCGAGTCTTTGAGAAAACATCTACTTTCTTTATTTGTTCGGTAGTTTGTGA